CATGAATGAGCCTGAGATGCGGACAAACATAAAGAGGGGGTTTCTTCCACTGTGTTACGAAAGCATTCACCACTGCTTCCTCTAGCTCCAACTTCCTGAATGCCATGAACACACTCACACGTGGTGCATTTCCTGCCTCACATTCCTGCTCGACGCTGGCTACATTCAGTCAACGCATTGTGGGAAAGGTACACAACGGCATCGGGAATAGAGATCAGCTTTTACGTGTCTGGCCATTTGGATTAACCCTCATGTCAACATGACCTTCAGAAACTTGACTAAAGCTCATGTATCAGTCTCAAAAGCTTCATGAGTCAAATGGAAAAAAAAAAACATGTTTATGAAGGTATCTTCATAATGATTATGAATTAAAAACCCTTTTTTGTTGTTTTATAGTGCTTAAGTTATTTTGTCACTTGTGCAACATCAACAATGTCAATGAAAGTGGCAAAGAAGCAAAGCAAACGACTTGACATTAATGTGTTGTGCATTAATGACGGAATGTTACTAAACTGATTGCATTTACACGTGATAGAGATTTGACAATTGTGACAAAATGACTGGATTATTTCTATTTTCATTCATTTTCGAAATCCAAACATGTTGAGGATCATCCAGTGTCTACTGGAGAGCTTTCACTGTTTTTGGTGTAGCACATCTTTTTTTTTTTTTTTTTTTTTTTTTAAATGTGTGCTATCTAAAACTACCACAATACAAAAAAGCCCATCACTGCCACAGTCACGTCTCCCATGACCAAGATCTCCTAATTAACTGAAATCCTCATTACCTTAATTACTCTATAATGACCCACTGTAATTATTCCAGTGTTAATTACAAACAGCCTCAAATACAACCCGCCAGAAAATGAACTTTCACTTTGCATTTACTTGCTTCAACTTTGGTTGGTTTGTGATTACATTTTTTTCGGGTTTTATTTATTTATTTTTTTATTGCTGTTGTTTTTTTTCTCACAAAAACGTTATGGGATTTTATTGTATTTTATTTGAAAACAAAAGCAAATCATTTGGTATTTTTACAAGGATTACCAAAAAATACCGCTTTTGATTCTAATTAATTGTATGAAAACTCTCTGCTGCAAGTTCTGAATTTTGACTTTTTTTACATGCTGTCATGGCAAAATATAAAATTTTAATCACCACAAGTGTTTGCAATGGCACTGACTCATGTTTATGGGGAAAAAAAAGTACAATCCAAGCACAGCATTTTACTGTCTGTCTGATTTTCCACTCAATTCTTCTGAGAGCACATGCTAGGGTCGTGTCGACATTGTGACACAGGAACAGTCAGTCCAACTATCATGTGGACACGTGGGAATGACTTTCCCATCCCACAGCTCGGTGTGACATCATCTTTTGCTCTGGTATGTAAAAAAAAAAAAAACATTCTATCATTCCGTCAAACCTGCTCTCCCGAATTCCTGCGAAGGTCCACTTGTTCTCATGTCAGTTTTTTCCTGCCCAACTTCTACAGGACAGCCCATAAAAAGCAACCTCAACTTGAGTAGTGTCATTCTGATATCCTTGGCTGGGATCAGTATCTACGTCCTGGGCACAAAACCAAATGGTGTCATTGTGATGTAATCCTTCCTGTTGACTTGTAACACAAACACACACATGCAGTGTTTCTCCTCTACACACTGGTTGGACTCTGCTGATACGAAAACTCCACCAGTGTCTGCCAATTTGCCTCAGACTCAGACAAAGACGACTCTAGTTAGATTTTTTTTTTCTTACTTCATCCATACAGCCACAACAATGCAATGACATTTACACAACATCAAACCAGCAAAACATTTTTCAGTTATTTACTTGTTTACTTATGTATTTATTTCTGTATATATAGAACTTTTCAGACACAAATGACAAGACTGTCAAAAGAAATTCCAGGTCTGACCATCACCATTATTAAAAAAAATAATAAAAATAAAATGAAATAAAAAAGCCGGTTACCTTTAACCTATGTTGGAGCATGACCTGCATCACGGGATGTCATAAGCGGTCAGGAATTTGCAATTTTAACTTGCAAACAGAGCTGTTGAGATATAGCTATTTTTTGCTTATTCTCATTCAAAGTTTGCAATTCATCTGAGGCATTGTCAAAGAAAGGGAAGCACCAGGAGCATGATCGTGATGTTTCTGCTCTTAACATCCCCCAAAAGAGCACCCCTGCCCCCCTGTGTCAGATATCCTGCTAGGGTAGGCAGTGATTTCATTTTTATAAACTTAGTCTTGTCTTCGATATACCGGTACTTTATTTTTTTATTTCATTCATGTTAGGATCTGTTACAACTGGGTTAGTGTGTGCATATGCAGACGTGTACGTGTGTCTATGCTTGCACACATGGTAACGGGTTGATGGATGGATGAATGGTATGTTTTGAATCGTTATTCATTCATATCAACTATGATGATGAAGGATACCAGTAAATCTGGGGACCGTATTATACACAAGTACAGATAAATTATATTTATGTACCGTATTTTCTGAACGATAAGGCACTTCGGAGTATAAGGCGCACTTTAAAAACAGTTTTCATATATAGGGCCCACTGCATTATAAGGCACATAGAATAGAAGCTACAATAGTGGTTTTGTTATGCATCCACTAGATGGAGCTACGCTAAAGAGAATACAATACAATACAGCTTTATTTATATAGAGCCTTCACAAACACTGCAGCTGTAATAAAGCACGTTACAAAACACTTAAAATACTATGTCCAATAAATCAGAATATTGATCCATACGTAGCTCCTTCAGGATGTAGCAAGAAGCACGACACAAAGTCCACAATGCAGGGTTTATTACTTGGCAACCCGTGAGAACTGGTCACAAACACAGACAAACATATAACAAGTACCAATAACATTAAAAAACAATAAATGAAAGACAGAGTTATGAAGACAATTGATTCAACAAAATGGCACACAAACTGTGTGGGCTCACATCCACAAGGGGCTAAATATCCTGAGATGTCTTGCTTGTCTCCTTCTTCCTTCATTTAGTTAGTAGTTAACTGTGCTTTTGGTGATCTTCGTTTCATAATGGCTGCGCAGAGCTCACAAAGTCGTTGAGTGCGTGCTGGCGAATGCACCTGTCAATGAGTGTCGGGCAGAACCCTTTTACGTTATACAGTAATTGGTTTTTGCTAAAAATCACCACTAGACGGCATAGGAACACTAAGAGGGAAACAACTCAATGGGGAATATAAAGGGACTGTAAAACCATATATAAGGCGCATCGGATTATAAAGCGCACTGTCGGCTTTTGAGAACATTGAATGCTTTTAGGTGTGCCTTATATATTTTTCCCCCAACAGTCTATGATCTACATTTCATAGACTGTGTCTTGGCTGTGCAGCTTTATTTATTTATTTACTTATTTTTTGGTCGAGTTAAATTGAGCCAAGATAAAGGCATGTAAGCCATCTTCGATGGCAATGTGTAAGGGGCTTGGGTTAATATGTTGCAATCACCATTTGATGGAAACCCCCAACAACTATTTGACAGATCAACTTAAAGCGTGCATTGCAGTCTTTCACAGAGTTGCAATCCCTACGCTCCAAGCGCACTTTTGGCTAGCAAGAAAGCATGGGATAAACAAACCATGACAGCTCATGGACCCACCCAGAGGTGAATAATTGCTTCCGCTGAGACAACTTGCCAACATGTTGAGCACTAATTCTCTTTGGAGGGCTGAGAAAAGTGGAACACCGGTGAGTGTAGAGACTTCTCAAAGGAATCACAAACACTTGCAGGGTGAGCTCATTCAGATTCTGAAAAGTTGGGAGTCATGATATTCCCGAACTGCAAAGTGATGTCAGGATAGCTTGTGGGAGCACATGGCATCTCACTTACATCTGTGATTTCCTGTCTTGCAGTCATTGTGGTCGCACTTTCCCTTTAAAACGTTGCTGGAACACAACCAGCGATTACAAGATGTTTGCAACACAGTATTTGGCCCCGGTTATGGGAAAAGGTAATACCATACCAACATTCTCAACTTGAAATTAAGCATTTGAAGTCTGTGCTGTCAACTCTGGCTCATTATATTCAATTAAAATACATGGAAGAAAAGTCGGGGAAAGAGAATGTTGTCGCCTTCGCAAATGCAATTCAGTGAGAATGCCAAAAATATTTTGCCTGTTTAACAGGGCAAGTTTTTTTCCTAAGTCCTCAGCGAGAGAAAATATTGTTTCACCAGCAAGTTCAATCAATTGCTGACAATGTGTCTGTGTGTGTACAGCTGCTCACGTGCCTCACATGCATGAATTGCAGTTTTATATTACCCCGCGTGAAAAACCAAGACGACAGACTGCAAATGACAGCACTTGATTGACAGTTTTTGATGTTTTTAGTCATAACAGACAATGTTTACACAGGAGCCACATGTCAATGTGCAGCCATGTGACAGTTTCAGTCAGGTGGTTCATCCAGAAGGACCTCTTACGCCACTGCACCAACTACTTCAGTCCGTAGCCTCAAAACATCGGGTACTCTCTGCAGTTGAGTAAAGACACACCCGCGCTACCGTCTATGACTAAATCAAAATACTTATTACAAAGGGTGACTAAGGTGCCGTGTTCCTCACAGGTAGGGCAATACCACAAAGCAATGAGTCAACAAACAGCGAAGCTACTTTCAACATGAGCGGTAAAAAGGCTGAGCGCCAACTGTCACAACAAGAAGGCTCTCTGCAGTACTTTTAGGGGGAACCAATTGACAGGATGATCACATGATGCACTAAGTGCCAAGCACAGCACAAAGATAAAACACTACCCCTTTAGTGGATCTCACAAATCTATTCACTGCACTCACACTCGCACATCAATAACTAAATGCATTAAATGCAAAACATGATTGCACGAGTTCATGTTTCTTATTGTTGTAATATGGTTGGATGAAAATCTCCAGTGTGAAAAAAAAACGTCTAACATGTGGATTAGTTACTTTCTCACCACTCTTTTTCATGCACCACATACCAGTTTTTTGTTTCTGCCTTCATCCTCGCTGGACCTCTTCTTAGAAGGTTTATTGGGATCCTCCCCACCACTGGCTTGATCCATTTTGCCTCCAAAGATGTTGTAAGTTCCTTTTTCCAATGACTTGACAGGAACTCCGCCACAATAACTAAAGTTGGCAAACTTCCCTCGTAAGCTCTTGTCAACACGTCACTTCGCAACACTTTCCAGGGTGAGCTTTTTCCATATCCATTTGGTTAGAAAAAAAATACAAAAAAAGCAATTAAATAAGTGGAAGTTTTGCAAAAAGTAGTATCCGAGTGGATGGGGTGTCGCTTCAAGATGAAGAGGCGTGGTATCCGTTCAGCACTAATTCCTCTTTGTCGCTCTCTGAAATAACATTAAAGCATTATGCATATAATTTTTTTTTCAACAGAATGTCAAAGACGATACTTTAAAACAAATACAAATCCTGCAAAACCAGTTTCCCGAAATAGTCTTTCTGGTTAATATTCAAAGTACACCCAAATTCAGTGAGGGCAGAATGCACTGGAAAATACGACAAATGATTTGAAGCACGTCGTTGTTATTTTTATGTGTTAGAACTGATACGTCACCATATATTGCTATTATTAACAAAAGCAACTTAAAAGCGTTTCAGTTAGCTATAACATAGTAACAACCACACTATTTCCAATAAGACGACTAGAAAGACACTATATTTGTTTTTAGCGTTGACGACCGACACTATCAGCCACGTGGCCTCACCCTGATTGATCCGAATCAATATCAATAGTAACAATAGTCGAAAAAAATCACCGTTGTTCTCTCTGGAATACTTTGCAAAGCTGTAGCTCTAGCCACGTAAGCGTACTTGGAACTTCGTCGCCACTAGAAGGTCAACTGCTTGGTCGCTAATACTACACGTGACTGCACAGGATAAAAACAATAAATTACAGGATTAAAAATATGAATACAGTAATGTGTCCAGTAAAACTCACAGTATCCCATCCTGGTCAAACTGTCGCAAGCAAGCTTGATTGCCAGGCCCACGCTAGACCCTGCCTACTCAAATTTTACTGGTTGGTGGGCTGGACAAGGAGAAGGATTCCCGACGGCTATTGGTCTGATGTGTTGGCTGTCAAAAGGTTGGCGTGGCGTCGTCGCGTGTCGGGGTCAAAACTGATTTAATAGCAAGTGGATCGCACTCAGAACGGATCTCGAACTATCAGGAGCCTTGTGATGGGGCGACGTCATACCGGAAAGCGTGCGGGGAATCCTTGATAACAAAACGCATTCCGCATGTCCCGCGTTTTAAATTTCTTGCCGAACACACACACGCGCGCACACACACGCGTATTGCATCAGTGATTGTGCAACGTGTATTTCAAGATTACCACTGAGTTACGTAACCGTGTATCATGAAGGATTGTCTTGTGTGCACATAAAATAAAACGTACTGAGGAGCGGCTAGATTGGTTCATGGCATACTTACGTGTATGACTAAGTGTATGAATTTGGCCGCTGCAAAAGATAAAAACGCTCTTTTTCAAAAGGAACCATATTTGTGCAATTCTTAGCTGAATTCTTGATATCCTTTTTGATGTACTGTACATCATCAGTGGCGGATGCTGGTCTGTCAAGGAGGGGAAGCTCAATTTTGGCCGACATCATAAAATGTGTCCGTTTATATAAACGCGAATTCTACTCTCCGTTCCTTTTCAAGAAAATTATCTGTAACCCTGTCATACCAACAAGGCTTCTTTTCCAGGAACTTAACTAGTGTCCTACAACTACAGCAACTACAATAAAACCCACCAGTAATAAAAGATTAATTTGTCGCTTATCGTTTTCAATCAAGAGAGTGTCGCTAAAATGATTACAAGTCGTCTCCAATTCAACTAAGAACAGAATGAGAATTGAAAGTGCTCCCATGGATGCCTACACTAAAAGATCGGCGATTGGCTCATTTCGATGTCAATCAAACTGGAACACAGGCTCAGACAGATCATCCAATCTGATGCAGAAAAACTGATCGTCCGGTACCCGCCCACTGCCATTCAGTCCCAGGGACGCCGAGCGTCCGTGGGCGGGACAAAAACCAGCTTGTATCCAATGACTCGTCTCCGTTCAACCCATTGGGACAACCTACCCTGAACTCTCGAGACGCTTGGCGTCGGGCAGTCGAAGCTCAGAAGACTCTCAGCGTCCACCGTGTAAAGCACAGCGAAGCTGCTGGAATGAATGAGAAGGGAGTCGCGTCGTAACCAGTAAGAAGAAGCTGATTTGGAACAAAAGTTGAGCACATTGTTGCATATTTAGTCAATGACATGTACACACAATGAAATTTACATTCACATATTTGATCACTTATTCTTTGACATTTTAGGGGAAGCTGCGCTTCCCTTGCAGTCCGAGAGCAATCGCCACTGATCAAAACACCCCAAGGCGCTGCAATTGGCGACAGCCTATTCTTGCCCATGGTGAAATTGGTTAATTTTATTGGAGGATTTGTCATGTATATTGTGGGTGTCAAACTCATTTTTGTCACAGGGCACATTTTAGTCAGTTTTAGTTTCTTGGTGGGCCGTTATGACTGAAACAATATAAAGAAGTCAATAATAACCGTTTATTATTACTGTGCTTGGTGGGTGCGCGTACCAGCACTGATTTTGATTGGGAGGAATGTCGGCGCCATTTGACTGTCGTTGCTGGACAGCCCCGGGGCGCTTGTGTCTTGCGCCTGAAATAGGCAGCATTTTCACAGCCATGCTTTGTTCAGCGGAAAGGTCAGTGCTGAAGGACAGTCTGTGGCTGGATGGATGCAAGAAAGGAGCGTCAGCGCAGAGCGCCGATGCGTATGTGGAACTGGGAGTCGCGGCTTGGAATTGAAGCGGATTTACATGGGACAGGAGAAGAGAGCCAATCTCTTTTTCGTTAATGGATGCTACAGCTTCTTGTTGCTTTCAAGCTTAGCTTGTAGCAGTCATGTGCACATTTCAGCATGACATCTTTGATCCACTGGTGAAAAGGACACTTTGACTCGCTCTTCTTTCATCTATAACGGTTTCAGACAACAAAGTGTGTGCAGGAAAGTGGTTAAGATTGCACGATTGTCTGTGTCTAATGTGTTGTCTTGTATTATTTTGTCATTTTATGTGAACTTTTTTTAGGTTAACTTTCCTTTTGATGGCGGCGCGGGCACCGGCAGCGGCTCCTCTTGTTTTATGTTGTCTTGAGAGGGAAGAAATTTCATCTGTGCTGTATGTTGCACAGCACATTTGACAATAAAGTTGTACTTGACTTGACTTGACTTGACTTGACTTATTCAACTATTGTTTAAGTTACTGTAATGAGGGATTTGATCACAAGAAAATGCTTCCAATATCTCTCTTATTACATATGAGATATACCAAAATTTAAAATGCTCATATTACATATGAGCATTTTAAATTTTGGTCGAGATTTTAGCAAGCATCATGGGAGATGACATGTTTGATTTGCTTTCGCGGGCCAAATCTGGCCATTGGGCCTTGGGTTTGGCACATGTGATGTATATAAACATTCAAAAGTCAATTTTCATCATCTGTCCGAGAGTGTCCAGTGTTGTGCTTAAATTCTAATGAAATTCTAATGGCTGGTTAAAATGTGAGTTCTTTTTATACCCCCCCAAAAAAAAAAACAAGAACTCATAAAAAAATTTGGACTTATATATGTTAATGACAGTGATCAAATGGCACATGAGCCAATGCATTTCAGTACGCCATGGAGTGTGGCAGAATCACATATTAACATAAGTTAAAGTGCTTAACTGCAGGACTGTATGCTGAACGCAACTGTCACCTTTTGAGCAAGCAGCCACATTAGCAAGTTTAAAAAGCAACTTGTGTAAATAACAACTATCCTCAAAATTTTAATCAGCACTTATGGCAGTAAACAAACTCAGATTGGATATGGCGTCTCATCTGGTCTGTGTCATAGAATATTTGTCCTGCATAAGCTTACTTAGTGTCATCTGTGTTATGTCTCATGTCCAGTTTTGAATTGCGAGCGCAAGAGACACTGGTGACACATCCTATTTATATTTTGGGGCATGGACTGCACCTTACATTGGCCTCCCTGGTCACTCGCAGGGTTTATAATTAAACACAAAGAGCTATTGTGGACATGGAATATTATTTCCCCAGAGGTCATTTGACTGGAATGACTGACCGAGGCCTTGGGAAAATATTTATTCCTCTTCAGACCAAAAACTGTCTGATGTACTCACTATGTAATATCTGACTACTTGTGCTCACTATGTTATATCTGGCTACTTGTGAACATGCCTTAGCCTATTAATTCAAGAACGAGAAACATGTACGCTTACTTATGTGTATTGCATGTGGGTGACTATTGTAAAGTGAAACATCTGGGTGTGTCATTTTATGCAACCTTTAATTAAAAGTATGAAGCCACCTCAAGATGACAAATATGAAATAGTTAAGAGTCACTTGGAGCATTGTGTTATGGGAATAACTGTCAGCTAGAGCCAAAGACAAGACCTTTTTTTATCTGATCACATGTAGCAGCCAGCCTGTTCTGATGAATGTCCATTACACACATCGCATTCAGAACTTAACCAAAATGTAAAGTCTCCCATCATGCTTATATTTCTTGCCCAGCATTACAATGTTGTAAAGCCGAGTACACACATATAAATGAGCCCATTTTGGGCCCGTTCTCCTATTTTAATTAAACTCAGCCAAGGCCCCATTATCCAATATCTCATAAGCCCCGTTCACACGGCAACGTTTGGTCCGACGCAGCTTCGAAACAAATCCAGTCGAGCATTCACACGTGCACATTTGCTCCGGCGTAGCTCCACTAAAGAGCTTATGCCGGACCAAATTTGATCCACCTCAGGTAGGTGGTTTAAAAATTTGCTCCAGAGCAAATGCTCGTTTGCGACGCTAAGCCGAAACAAATGTGCACGTGTGAACGCAGCTGGATTAAATTTGCTCCAGAGCAAAGGCTCGCTTGCGGGGGAGTGGCCTCGCTACACTCGCTACCAGATGCACGGAATCCGACCCCGGTCGACAGTGACGAGGGGGCCAGCGACACAGACGAAGCCCGGCCGTACACCCCCGTTCCCGGTAAAAGTGTCGGCGATTTAAGCGGTGAAGACAGCGCTCACAATCAAGATGAGAATCGAGAAAGCAGTGACGTCAGCCGAGCCCGATTTGCAGGCCCGAGCCCGAAGCAAACCCGACATTTCATATTTTATTTGTGAGTATTTTTGGGAAAAAAAAACACAAGATTTCTTACGGTTAAAATAATCTACATATTTTTATGAACATGATCAATGCATTTGCACAACGAAATAACGATGAAATACAGAATAAGAGGCCAGACAAAGAGAAATCTCGATGCGCATTTGCTTAATTACGCAGAGAAATCCTGCGGCTTACTAGGCTTTAAATAGAATAATTCAAATGAAATAAATAGGTAAAGATATCTGAAATTATTTCTACAGGATTGTTTAAACGAAATTAACATACGTGCGCACTGCGTCTGGCCGGCTGCGCTCCTGTTTAGCAGTTAAATAGCAATTAAATTACAGCGCATTCTCTGTTTTATCCAAATTGTTTGTTTTAAAACAAGTATTCCTTAGTTTAGTATCCGCACATCGTTTTAGTGTACTTTTTTTAAAACATATATTGTGGCAGTCATAAGGAGCACACACAATTCACTGTAAACACGTCTTTATTCCACGACTGCCAACAAGTGGACCTATTCTGAACAAGGACAGAATAGTGTCCGCCATCATATTTATTAAAAGAAAAATAAATGAAAGTCCGCGAGAGAAGCCCGACCCGACCCGAACCTGTTTTACTTCCACATTTCTGTCGTTTTGGTCCGCAGCAGACACTGCACGTGTGACCGCAAGTGGAGCTGCTCCGGCGCTGCATCGGAGCTGTCACGCTCAGTGGCTTTGCACGTGTGACCGCTCCAC